ATGATCCCGTTCATCGCGATCGCGTCCGCGCAATCTGGAAAATTGGCCAACCATCGAGACAAAACGTTTCGTTTTGCAATAACAAAGTTGTTTTTCAATTCCAATCACCAAATTCTGTCGTCGAATTGTGTATGAATTTCTAATTGTCGCAGGATCGACGAGATGTTTTGTATTCGTTTCTACAGGAATAAGATATATAATATATAATGTATAATAACTATTTCGAAACAATTATTTCGAATTTAAAGAGTATTAGAGGTAGTTTCGAGAACTTTTTGTTTTCGAGCATACTCGAATTTATATTTTCGCATAAATATAATCTTATCTTTGTATGAATAATTTTCTACGCAAATATCGTACGAGATACACAACATATAACAAATTACTCGAAATCGAAAGTGAAGATCAGGTTTACTTGGAGAAAGAAATTCGAAATATGAATTTGTTCGAAGGATATTCCATCCAGGTATTTCATTCATCGGTTCATTCATTCATTCATTCATTTTTTTCTTTTTTTCTCTCTTTCCCAACAACGGCGTTCTCTCGAGAAATCGAGTGAAACCGCGTTCGATTTATCCGCGCTCGATCCATCACGGCTACTGCCTCTCTCCCTCCCTTCTCCCCACGCCGTGCGCGCGCAATATTGCATTCATTCGACGAGAGAGGTACTACCCTCGCTTACCCCCTCCCCATCTCGGTTTCTCAATTACCACGGCGACGACGACACGCTCGTTGCGATCGTTGCGCCTTAAAGCTCGTTTCACAGCTCGCGTACCACGACCTCGATTCCATTGCGCACGAGAACGAATCAGCTTCCCCATCGGTCTCTCCCCTTTTTCCATTCCGCTTTCCTCCTTTGTCGAGCGTGCAAAGGATTAAACTTAAAAGAAGGAAGGGAGCAAGTACAGCTTCGAACGGAAGAATTTTCCAATTTCTCGAAAAGCTTTTTAATTTTCACTCGTTCGAAGAATTTCGTCCGAATCCATGTTACACGAATTAATATTAATATAGATCGAGTTATAGATGGATATATTAGATACGTTTGTCAGGTTAAATTGATCGATGGCTAACGATTTTATTATTATTCTTAGGAGATTATGTTTAAGAATTATCCTTATATTTTTCTGTATCTCGTAAAGGGGATCATCGATGAATATACCTTTCCATGTGCACAGCGCTCGAGAAAGATCGTCAGCGCGTTTATGGCACTTTTTTTGGTGATTTTTATTATCGAGGAATCTCGTGAGAAATAAATGCTACATTTCCAGAGAAAAATATAAATCAATGTGCAATAACTTCATATATACAATATGCTATCTTATGCAGAGCGACTAGTCACCCATAGTACGTCAGTGGCATTTTATGTAAAGCGACTATAGTCGCCCGTAGTAACGAAAGGATTAAGATATACAATTGCATTTTTAATATTGTTCAGAATTCTAATCGATATTCCATTTAATTTGGAGATCGTATTTTTTTTTTTTAAAGAAAAAGGGAAATTTATTTTTTTTTTCGATAAATATAAAATCGTACGATTTGAATACAAGAATTATATAAACTTCGTTCGCTATTCGTCGAGTATTTATTTCAAGGTTTTTAAATCGGGCACGAGTTTATCTTAATATAATACCTTCGTTAAAGTTTTGAGATTTCGCGGAAAGATTAACTGGATTAATAAATCAAGTTTCATAGAGGAATATCCGTCCGTGAGAAAATAAAAACAACGCAGAATCGCGTCACCCATCGCGAACGAAAATTAAATTAACTCGGTTTCTTAAGCAAACTCAATGAGATCAATTAAGGGGAGGCTGTTTTATTCGCTGAAATTGGTACCAAGACAGCGTGTACTTTGATTTTTAGACGGCGCCATCGGGATTCCTCTCTGCTCGAACCGTCGACAATCAATGATCCGTACGAATTTATATAGGGATTAATTTAGAAATTGACCTATGTTTCAGATTAAAATTTTCTTTCCGTTTAATCGAAAAGTGAAATGGAAAACAGAATATAAATTTTGATTTTTTTGATCAATAATAAATCGTATGTTTTATCGAATATGCAAAGAAATAATAGAACGTATGTATGCCATTTAAAAATTTATTGGACAGCAATAAGTTATCAGATAGTATCAAATAGTTGCTCTGCATTCAGTGATAGATATGATATCACTTTGTACTGTAATAAAAATTTAACGGTAGCTTTTGTAGTTTTTTTTTTAATGAAAGTTTTATTACATATTACAAACAAATACTATATATATAGAAAAAAAGAAATTGCCAGATCGTATAAATGCAAATCTCGAAGAATACGTTATACGTGAAGAAGTGATGAAAGTGAAAAAAGAAATGAAAGAAAAAAATAATAGGATTTAATAAGCGCTTAGTAACAAATCGAAAGTCACTAGCGGATAGATCGAAAGGATAGTATCGAGTTCCTTTTTCTGCCGCGATCCATTAACCTCCACGAATGCAAATGATCACCGAGCAAAGGCCAAGCTCTCTCACTCTTCCAGACATTCTAATTCAAAGCGAAAGTCGACTCGTTGAATTATGCGACGCGTGAAAATCGATCTTATCGAAACTTTGTCCTTTTTTTTCTTTTTTTTTTTTTTTTTTTTGAAATTAGTTCTAAAAAAAAAAAGGAATTTTCATTTGAAAATCGATCGTTCGATTCGATTTTCGAATAATAATTCGTTTTCGATTCATACAATCGCTATTATAAAGAAAGAAGTACTATGAAAATTCAAACTGAAATTAAAATTTGAACAAGAAGTTTTTAAAATTTAACTAAAAGAAAAAAAAACAAGTGAAATAATAAACTCTTACTTTTAATTTCGCAAAGCTTTCATAAAGAAATTTGCATATATTCTTCACGATTTCACAAATGAATCCTGCTCGAAGAATAAAACTTAAAAGGAAATTTGCGAGATAACAAAATTATACATCGAGCCTCATCCATCTATCCATCCGCTCGATGAATTTTCAACCTTGATACCGATGTATTAAACGCCTCTTCTCATTGCACATGTCTCCTCTCGACCCTCGATCCTCTCAACCTCGGTGTGCGATTCGCGAAACGCTCCTTGGCATTTCTTCCCGTCGTGGCCCGTCTCCGCCTGGTACGAGCTAATCAGAACTCGTTACGTAAAGAATTCGCGGCAAAGAGACGGCACGCTTGATTTTCCGCTCGCGGCCACGACACGAGTAAACTTTGTTAACGAATAGCTCCCTTGGGAGCGCGCCACCAACCGGATGGAAACTGAAACAACGTGCGAGATTATGCGTTAAACCCTTAACGTACGTGTCGTCGGTTTTGTGAATTTAGTGTCGAAAAGCGTGAAAACCACTTCTCGTTTACCCTTCCTCTCGTTCGAGACGAAATATTCAAGCTGAAGAATGAAAAGGAAGAATATTTTTTTTGATCGGTTTTAAAGAGTTATCTCCTACACGATATTTTCATCGATTCGTTATTTGATCGTAGAAATAGTCGATTTTAAATGTAACTTCGAATATTTTTCTTCTTTTCTTTCGATTTATTCTTTTCATCGATTGCTTGTATTGCGTGATTCTCTTTGTTATAATTGGAATGAAAAAGGTCGAAAAAAATTATCTTGCCCGCTACCTTGTACTTAACATTTGAGGTTAAGTGTTAACCTTTGCAATCGAGAAATGTATCCCAGACATTCTATCTTATTATATTTTATCTTATTATAATTTCGAAAATTAATTTCTATATACTTTCTCCATTTTATCATATGACGCACATTCGTTCTTAATTCAGCTAAGTAAAGAAATTTAATTGCTTTTCCTTTGAATTAAAGAAATGGAGAATCTGAATTCGATAAAGCTAACTTAACCTATACCGTGTTTCTTCCACGGAGAAATAAAGATAGAAAGTCGACTTACGGTATATAACCCTTGTAAATTTATGATTCTAGTACAATAATATATATCAAACAACGTATTTATCCTACTTACACGTGCATTTAACACCAATTATAACGACAGAGAATATATACATCACCAAGGATAAGCATACTTTTATCGTGTCTAAACGAACTAATTCTTTCGATCGGCGAATCGTTTATCGCGTCCAAAAGCGAAAGAAAGAAACGATTCGATGGATGGGAGATGACTTGGTACGGAAGTTAGTGCGCGATAACGAAGGGGAAACGAGATCAAGGATAAGAGCAAAAGAGTTGGCGTTCGGATGCTCGGTTGGAGAGGCGGCGACAACCCGCTTCTTTCCCATTTGCTTTCGAAACTTTCGCTCATTGTTAAACGGCTTCACGCTCGAATTCTCTACGTGGACATCCCGTTTCGATCTCGATTCGACCGACTGTGTGCGACAACAATCGTGTGTGGAAAAAAGAGTTATGGCTTTTAGAGGGGATCGTTTCCACTGCGATTTGCATTCGAATGGTGCGGGTACCGTTATCGCAATTGAACGAGTTTGTGAACGATTAGTGGACGATGAAATTAAGGAAGAAAATGTGATGAAATTCGATCATCGTTGGAATTGGAAGACGTGAAGGTGGAATCGTGATGAATTTGATTCGAAGTGAGAAATTCGAAGCTCGGTTCTACAGAAATTGTGCGATTGTGCGGATTTGATCGAAGTGTATATGGAATGACACGATAAAAAAAAATTGGCAACGCGTTTTATAAAAGCGTTGTAGCAGCAGGATTGTTGTTGCATTGCGGAAATGAAACATCGGTGACATCGATCAGTGTTATGCAAATTTTAGCAGTAATATTCCAGCTTCCGTGTTCTGCTCATTTAAATTCACAGTTCTTTTTTCTCTCTCTCTAAAAAAAGAAAAATCAAAAGGCATCGCGCAAGAGTTATTGTTTCGATGCAATTCGAGGCAAATACATTCAGAATCGATCTTTTCGAGGAAATCAGAATTATATATTTTTTGTAATAGAAATATCCTGGAATATTTGAATTTTGACAATTATGAAGTTACTTCTTTGTTCGATCATCGAATGCGCGTAAGACAGTTGGAAATACGCTATTCGCATTCCAACTTTCTACGTACAATACAAATCATCGCTCTCGAAATCCAAATCCAAGCAAACCGAACCAGATCTCGTTCGCCTCGCTCTCGAGGAGATACGGCTATATCGCTGTTGAAAATGGCAAATTTTCACGTTTCATCGCGTATTTTATTAAAAAAAAAAAGAAAAAGAAAGAAAAATAAAAGAGAAGAATTTACGAGGAGAGACGGGAGAGCCGGTAGAGCGACGCAAGTCGGCAAGACCCACGTCACGTCGCGTCCATTGAGGTGGGGTGCAGCCGTTCGTCGTCGGTTTCACGGCGAACATCGAAGCGAGTTGCGGCGAGCGAACCGAGCCAGTCAACCTGAAACCGCGAACAACCGCGACATCGCGTTGCTCCGCGCGCGCACTCGATGGCGCCAGCCCTCCTCCTTTTGAACTCCTCCTGTAAACATTGCGATTTCGCCGCGGCCACCGATGGATACACGCGATTCACGGCGCGCAAATTGGGTCTCGTCGGTTGATCTCGCGGCGGTGATCGTTGGTTAACAGTGATAACACGCGGAGTGTGGATTTTTCGACGCTTTCGAAATCGAGGCCGCGTTAATAATAACAAAAATTGGAAAGAATTATTCGCATCGATCTTTCGAATCAAAACATCGACCTTGGGAGGAAAAGAAGTGCGCGGCTCGAGGCTTCGTGAAGGAAATCGCGTCGTGACCGAAATCTCGGCTAAAATCCGAGAAGAGGAAGAAGGGGAGGGGAGGGAAGAGGAAGAAGAGGTGAACCGCGGCCCGAAGAGATCGGATGGAAAGCGAGGCGAGCTTCGATCGATCGTTTCGAAGGAAGGGAAGAAGAACCGGTCGGTGGGAATCGAGGATGCGGCGAAAGCTCGATTCCAAGTTCAAAGGATAGGTGGTATCGTGTCGAGCGTGTTTTGCTTTCGCGTTGCTTATCCGTGGAAAGTCAAACGTATCGAGGGAAAAGCGAGGAGAGAGGGAGAGAAGGGAAGGACACACGGATACTTGTTGCACGCCGCGGACTTTCACATCTGTTCTTTCCTCTCTCGATTACAAAAATTACGATTCCGTCGACTCTCGGATACGGAGAGAGAAGGGGAGAATGAATCGATCGTTGATTTCGATCGATCGATCGTTGTTGATGAAAATTGTAAACACGCGTAAAATGTGGTGAAGGAGGGGAGGGGAAAAGATGGTGGTACGTGGTGGAACTATAGCCAGCGGGCTACAACGCGACTGTTCAATTGTCTTTATATAATCGGGAGAACGGATGGAATTTTGTTGTTGTTGGACGTGAAAGAAAGAAAGCAAATGGGTGGATCTATGAGGGGAGAAGGCGGTTGGAATTTTTTCAGTGAAATCGTCGAAGTTTTTTCTCTTTTTTTTTTTTTTTTTTTTTTTTGCAAATCGTCTCTCCCGTCCGATTATCGAGAAAGTGATTTCGCGGAGGTTTGTGAGTTATGGGATAGATAGATGGATACGAAAATTGAAACATGAGTAACGAGCGAGTATATAAGTAAACAGGTGAAATATAAGATAGCTGACAGAAGAAAGTGTTACTTAAAATAAACGTTAATTGAATGGCGTGAGTTTTTTTCTTTTTTTTTTTTTTTTCTTAAAAAAAAAACTTGAGCCAAAGCTAGAAAATACTTTGCTTTCACCAAAATATATCTATCGTGAGAAACTTTAAGTAGCTCTTCATCCTCTAATCTCGAATCTCTCTTGACAATAAACGTTCAATAAACCGATTATCAATATATACTTCGAGCATTTTTTGAAAAAAGCATAAAAAAAAAACAAAGAAAGAAAGAAGAAAGAAGAATCCTTTTTCACATATCGAGGAAAATTTACAAATTCGCAAATCATTGATATATAATTCCCGAAATTTCAAAGACAAAATCCCAAAGAATTTAATTGCAACGGAGCTTCGAAATAAAACGAGGGGGATACGAGCGAGAGAAATGAATTATTCCGGAGAAGCTATGACGGAAAATTAAGAGAGGAAGAAAGAAAGAAAGCGCGGGATAAAACGAGACACGAAACGAAGAAACCGGGAGAAACAAGAATAGGATAAGAATGGAGGATAAATAAGAGAAATACAGGAGGAGGGAAGAAACGTGGAAGAAATCGATTATACAGTGATCAATGGCGGAAAATTGGGCGGCGGATACGTTTATTGGTTGTGGCGGCCATAATAACTACGCGATAATAACGCGCATTATATTCACGGCTCGTGCGTCATAAGGCTTCGGACTGTCGGCACGGCGGTGACATCGATTCAGCAGACTGTCCAACGCGGTTAAAATCTAATTATTCGAGCGGCCCATTATGTGATGCGCCTCGAAACGAAAACGCGAATTCACTTGCGCGGAGGAAGCCGACTCCGTGGAACGCCGCTTCTTCCATCTCTTTTCTTTCGTTTACCATCGATCGTTCGCGGTGCGGTGTGTTAGTGATCAGTGTCACTTGGTGATGCATGTCAAAATTGGCTTTGGAATCGTGTCACTTGGAAACATCAACCAGGTATATTCTCGCGTCGCGTGTGTGCGAATATGTGTAACGAAATATCCGACGACTTTTTTCTTCGCCACTTTTTCAACGAGTTTATCTTACGAATTTATATTATTTTTAATTCGTTGCGACTCTTCGGTCCTTTCTTCGCGGGGAATTTTGAGAAACGAAAAATTTCACATTTCTAACTTTTTATTTCGCGTGTCTAGAGAATTTCGAGTTATATAATTCGGTATTTAGAGTTTCGATGAAGTTTCATACGTTTATTTGCCTGTCTAGTGTTACTATTTATCATGGCCTTGGTAGTTGTCTCGACGAATCGAATTCATTTTGCTGGTTCGACGACTTACTAAACAAGACAGCGTTCGAATAAACATAATTAGAAATTCAAATGATAAATCGTATTGATTATAAATATATATATATCCAAATCCTACGCAAATACGATTCTTATGGATATAATCTTACCGTATTTCATTCGAATATATTGATTAAATTTTTTTATTACCATTCGCTTCTAAAATTAACAAATATCGAGTAAAATAAGTTCAAGCTTTGATAGATTGATCGATTTTTTTCCTCTTCCGCTTATCTCTTTTCTACTCTTGCGTCTCGTTTCGTACGAGCATTACACACACACACACATATACACACCGTTATCGACACCGCTTTTTTTCTCCTTTATTGCGCAAAATGTCAGTTTGACATTTTGCTCGGTCATCAAAGACGCGCAATTATTATTTAATTGCGTCACGACACAATGGATGAAATAAAATATTTCTTCGCGTTTCTTTTCCCTCTTTAATACACTTTCCACGTGTTGAAAATGCATACACTTTATACGCGAGTCACGCGGAGACTTATGGAAAAAAGAAAAAAAAAATCACGCTTTCTAATTATTAACTTTTAACGCGAAGTTATAAAAATGCGGGATCGATGGAAAAATGGAGGCCCGTTACGTTACGAGAATCTCGTTCCAATAATCGTGTCACGTATAAAATTTATTTATTTTTCTTGGATGAGGAGATAGCAGGGAATGTAGGAACGTGGTTTTCCACGGTGGTCCCGAATTATAACCGACGTTTACGAGGGAATTAGTCGCGCGAAACGCGGCGTGAAACATAGAAACGAGAGGACAAAGAGTCGGACTCGTTCTTCTTAGTTCCGTGCGTTTCACGCTTCATCATTCCCTCGTTCCTCGTTCCTGTTTTTCGAACCGTTGTGACCATAAGATTAGAAAGTGGGCGGCCATTTTTTTCTTTTCTTTTTCTCTCTCTTTCTCTCTCGATCTTAATCGTCGCTCGAACGAATAGTTCCTTGTTTTTCGTCGACTCTTTTGAATTGAAAATAAATCATTTTCGACGAGAATCGGTTGATTTATAGGTTTTATATATATATATCGTATGAAACGAGAAGAATTTTATAGTCTCTCGAATTTTAACATCAAACGTGGCTCGATCTAGCGAAGACACATCCAAGTTATAATCCGTTTTATATATTTCATTGACCTATTTCTTTCGCAATATCGATCGCTAAATTGCCTCGTAAATTAAATTACAAAACACGTTTTCCATGGATAACGTAATTCCTTCATTCAACGCTGTACAGAATCGAAAAGTTCTATTTATTCCACATACAATTCTCGCGTAATTTCTCGCCAGGCCTCGAATTCCTTCTTCACGAAATTCTAAGATTCATCGGTTCTCAAACTTCGATGTTGCAAACTCCATTGCAAATCCTATATGACTCTATTCCACACGAATTTAAATTCTCACTTATTGATAGAATTCCATAGTTTTCGCGGTTCGAAATTTTAATCGATCACAATTCACGCATCTTCGTCAATTTCATCTTTTTCATTTCAAAGCTACAAAGAATGTAATAGCTCCTCGAATTTTCGACGACTCGCATCGCTATCGCACGAAAATACACGTACGAATACCTTTTTCCAATACCGTCGCGGACAACAGGATAGAGAAGAACAACTACGAGAAGGAAGCGTTATCGATAACAGAATGCGATAACTGTGTTAACAGGCGGTCTATACACGCATCGAACACGTGGCGTGGAAACGAAGCGAGTATACGGATAGCATTGCTGGTAATATACCGTTAGGCGGGGACTCGGTGTACAGTACCGTTCACAAAATAGGTGTCGATGCGTCCAAATTCGTGTCAGAACGAATGCCTTTTCGAACGATGATATTCGCCCGGCTAGACTTAACCAATGGATCGACGGCTCAGTGAAAGTCGACGGACGGCCGATCCTCCTCCTAATCGTCACTTCTGTCGATACCATTCTCGATTTCCGCTCGATCGAGCTGCGAATCGAGAGGAATTAATAGGCCATAATATATAATCGAATATTTGATCGGTGGAAAAATGCGAGTTATTTAAATCAATGTATATTTTTCTCGCTACGACGAAAGAAGTTTTTCTATCGTTCGTTGATTACGAAAAGATTCCTGTAGATGAGGATTGTAAAGAGGAAGGATTTTACTTTGGTAAATTTATCACGAAGGAAGGATTAAAATACGATCGAAATAGCTTTATAGCTTATTGAATAAAAATATTGATTTAGATAAGCGGCTAGCTTTGGAAAATGACCGTGTAATAATACATCGTGTGGGAATAAAAATATGTGAAACGGTCGAAGAAAAATTCATCGTTTCGAGTATTCAGAGATTATTCAATGTGAATTGATAATTTAGTATCTCTTAACTTCGAATTATCGAAACCTATCTATCTTTGTTATTTTTTTTTTCTTCATCCATATATATATATATATATATATATATTGCTTGTAATAAATTGCGACTTGAATACGGTCTCAAGATATCTCTTTATTCGAGAATTTTAGAATTCTGAATCGTTTATCTTATATAACTTTAAATTAAAATTTGCAAAGCTGAGATTTACGATCTTTACGATTTTGAATTTGAATCGAAAATCGAGGATTAAACGTCGAATTTCGAATTGGATATAATAGAATAATGTTGACTTGGGTAACGCGTTGATAACAAGTTTTGGAAATTCGAGGGATCGAGGAACAGGAAAATTTCGATAAATTCGCGGATAAAGCGTGAAGAAAATATAATAATAACAATAATCGTGCATGGTTCGTGAAGAAAACGGTAGAACAGCTAAGGAGTTGCGCATACGATTATTCAGCGAGCATCGATGACGCGATCTCTTCGTTTTTCCTTGAGAACAGCCTCGGACACGATACAACAATCGAGCCCGTTGCTTTCGTTTTAAACGTTGCTCGCGTCTCTGATTCTTTATCTCCTGTTTCTTAGCTTTTTGCTGTTTTTCATTTTTTTTTTCTTTATGAGAATTTAACAATCGAAATCTAACTTTTAAAAAGAATGATTTCTTAAGGAAATATGTATAATAATTCACGAATAAAAGGAGACGAAAGAAAAATAGCAAAACTTTATTGCAAATAAATAAAATTAAAATAATTTAATATAATAAGATTAAAATAATTTAATCAGATAATAAATACAACGAACCGTGGCAAAAAAAAAATTCCTTTAGAAGCATAAAATCCGCGAGGGAAAATTATATCGGTTAAAGAGATTAACCGCAAGGTAAATAAGGAGGTAATAGGATTTTAAAGCGTAGAGTCGTTTCAGAAGTTGAGTTGCAGAAATGCTTAGAGACAAATGAGTCGATGACTCACTTGTAGACTTTCGCAAACTATAGTTGTGTGGAAAACCGGTGGAAAAAGAACGCAACATGAAAACGGGAGGGGGGGAGGGAAGAGAAGGAGATAATACTGGCTTATTAATTCGTATAAATAGAAAATCTCCTCGTTCAATTTGTCACGATTCCTTGAAATTCTGTATATAATCCATACGATCCAATTATCTGAACCAAAACTCGATACAAATTACAAGATACAAAATAAAAATATAAAAATAAAAATCTAAATTTAGAAACGAGGAATGAATTTCCAAGAATTACGAATTTATCATGGCCGAGGATCCAAGTGTTATTTTAACCCGTTCAGTTTATCTTGATTCAGCTGAACACGGCGAAAAGTGATCCTTGCGTTTCCATATTTGTCGAATCGCGAATATCTCTTCGTCAGAAATTAGAGAGGCAATTAGATAATTCCTTTTCAAGCGTTTTATCCTGTATCGCTTTTACCTTTGCTTCCGATGGACGTTTGTTGTTGGACAATGATAAAAGCGTTAAGAAAAAGCCGTTTCACCGTTTTTCCCTTCCCTCCATCGAGATACATTTCTATGGATCTGGCACATCGAACCGGAACCGAATACTGAAAATCGAAGTTGTACAAACTTGCTAAACTAAAAGAACGAGCTCTTAGTTCTTTTATATATACACGAAGTTGGAGCATTCTGTTATTCTGGATGATGATTAAAATATTTTAATATTCAAAGGCTGTAGGAAATTGGGTTGTTGAATTACCAATTTAATTAGAAGTTAATTTATCTCTTGCTGTTAGAATCGATAGTTCGAAAAGTTGTTTAAAATCGTCAAGTTTTGCCTTTAAAAGAATTACTTCAATTACGTAGCTTCTCTCTAAAGAATAATAATTTTCCTTTTTATATCGTATACCGACTAGAATAATTAAAAATATATGTCGGATTTTTATCTCTTTTTGATCTATCGAGTAATTTCTCTTCATAAATTTGCACGATAAATCAATGGGTCGCGAAAAGTGTCGTGAAATTTAAAATACGAACTCTCCACGATGATGAAACGATTTGTAACCGAAATTCTCTCTGTCTTTCTCTCTCTCTGCGCCGGATCGTATTACCATGACTCGTTAAGTTAGTTGCACACGCTGAGGCTAACGCCCGTATTCTGTAAAGAGCGTTCTGGTGGGTGATGTCGCTACTGGTTACGATCGAACCGATGGTTAAAACGGGCAAAAACCCTGGATAATATACAGGGGCTTTCTTGGCTCGCGTGCTGCGATCTTATTAGCCTACATCGAAACAACGAGCGGCTTCGACTTCTTATTAGAGTGTGACGTATCGT